TTCTGTTCTTCATTTGGTCTTTCTTGTAGGCCAGTTTGGTCTCTCCAGTAGTCAGTAAGCCTTCCTGATATACTAATTTCAGTGCATTTATTTGTTTGTTTGTTTGTTTGTTTGTTTGTTTATTATAAGCTCTTTTAAAGCCCATTTAAAGCCACGAGGTCTCCCATGTTTCGGGATCGGCGTCTCTACTCCTGGGCTAGGTAAGGGAAAGTCACTCTCCAGAGACCCCGGTCCAATTTCAAGACTTTTCTCTCTCCGTAGAAGAAGGGGAGGGGTCCCCCGGAAAGAGACCGGCTGGGGTGCGTGGCATTCAGTCAGGATTGCCCCCTTCCCTTTTTGGTTCTTCTCCTGTGCCCTTTGGGAAAAGCAGAATATTAAGTGGGATCAAGTTTTTTCCTAAAATAGAAAAGGACTCGTTTTTTTTTCCAGGATGCTCAGACAGAGAGAAGGGGCACAACGTTTAATACTTTAATCTTCAGGCTGGAAACGAAATTCTAGAATTCGAATGACTGTCTATTTGGGGAAGGGGGGGAGGTTAAGATCCTGGAGAGAAATGGGGAGACCCCTGGCACTCAGCCATCAAGGCTTACTGGGAGTAGAATAACAATAACAGAGCTGGAAGGGATCCTGGTGGTCCTCTAGTCCACCCCTGCTGCTTAAGCAGGAACTCCTGTGCCATTCTAGACAAACGGTTGTCCAGTCGCTTCTTAAAAACCTCCAGTGATGGAGCACCAACAACTTCTGGAGGCAGGTTGTTCCACTGGCTAATAGTTCTCGCTGTTGGAAAATCCCTCGTTAGTTCCAGGTTGCTTCTCTCCTTGATTAGTTTCCATCTGCTGCTTCCTGTCCTGACCTCATGTGCTTTGCACAACAGGTTTCAGTCACCATCCCTCAGCCTACCTGACAAGGTTGTTGTGAAGGGGGAAAGGAGGAGGAGGAGAGAGGGTATATGCTATTTATTCTTGAGGCCCTGTTGCAAATATATAGTACCACTTTACAAGGCCTTGGTAAGGCCACATTTGGAATGCTGCATCCGGTTTTGGTCACCACGATGTAAAAAAGAGGTTGAGCCTCTAGAAAGAGTGCAGAGAAGAGCAACAAAGAGGATCAGGGACTGGAGGCTAAAACATACAAGGAACAGCTGCTGGAATTGGGTATGTCTAGTTTAATGAAGAGAAGGACGAGGGGGGACAGGATAGCAGCATTCCAGTATCTTAGGGGCTGCCCCAAAGAAGAGGGAGTCAAGCTATTCTCCAAAGCGCCTGAAGGCAGGACAAGAAGCAATGGATGGAAACTCATCAAGGAGAGAAGCAACCTGGAACTAAGGAGAAACTTCCTGACAGTGAGAACAATTAACCAGTGGAACCACCTGCCTCCAGAAGCTGTGAATGCTCCAATACTAGAAGTTTTTAAGAAGAGACCGGACAACCATTTGTCTGAAATGGTATAGGGTTTCCTGCCTGAGCAAGGGGTTGGACTAGATGACCTCCAGGGTCCCTTCCAACTCTGTTATTCTGCTTTCCTTCCTTCCTTCCTTCCTTCCTTCCTTCCTTCCTTCCTTCCTTCCTTCCTTCCCTCCTTCCTTCCTTCCTTCCTTCCTTCCTTCCTTCCTTCCTTCTCCATCACTGGAGGCTTTTAAGAAGAGACTGGACCGCCATTTGTCTGGAATGGTATAGGGTCTCCTGCTTGAGCAGGGGGTTGGACTAGATGACCTCCAAGGTCCCTTCCAACGCTTGTTATTCTAATTCCTCTTCAGTCACAGGGCGATTTCTTTCCCTCCCGCCAGCCAGAGAACACGGCATGCTAATTACACAAAGGCAGATCTTGAACATTTGGCCACCGAAGCCCATAAGGCACGCGCCCTCTCCTTCCGTCACTCCCCGCTTTTAACTAGAGACCAAATGCCATTGCTAGGGAAACCAAAGAAGGGGCCGACAAGCTGCTGATATATTGGGCCAGGGGGTAAAAACTTCACGAAAGCCTGAATTTTGAAGATGAGTCAGAATAACAAACTTGGAGGGGACCCTGGAGATCTTCTAGCCCAACCCGCTGATCGAGCAGAAGTCAGGAACTGTGGATCAGGAAGAGGCCTCGGGGGCTGGAGACGGGCTCGGAGACGGTCGCCAATGGTCATCGCATAACTCCAAGACATATGTAACTGTCATAAATACCAGTCGGTTGCCAAGCACCCAAATTTTGATCCGGTGGCCATAGGGATGCTGGAATGGTCGTAAGTGTGAAACCTGGTCGTAGGTCTCTTCTTTTTCAGTTAATCCACAGCAGTGTCTTGCAACCTTGAAGATCTGTGGGCTTCCACTCCCAGAATTCCCCAGCCAGCATCGATAAGATGTTAGAAGCTGTGGCTTTACTAAAGGATGTTTATTGCGAATATTACTAGCAGAGTCCTCTTGATTTATTTATTTATTTTATTTTTTAATCCAGGTCAAACGTGTCCCGTGATTGTTGCATGCAAACTCTTTCTGTGATAGAGCCATCTCCAGCCACAGTTCTTTGCTTTCTCTCTTCCTGGGCTGTGTCCTTCCCTCCTTCCCCCCAAGAAAAGAGGGGAGGGGTCAACCATATGATCCCAGTCCCTCCTTCATCTTCCCAAACATTTCCTACTCCTTTGTTATTTCTTTGGTCCCTGGTTATCTATCCATCCATCTATCCATCCATCCATCTATCCATCCCCTCTCTAGCTCCATCCATCCATCCATCCATCTGTATCACCTATCATCTACCTTTATATCTATCTGTCTGTCTGTCTGTCTGTCTATATCTACCTACCTACCTACCTACCCACGCATCCATATCTATCTATCTATCTATCTATCTATCTATCTATCTATCTATCTATCTATCTATCTATCTATCTTTTAAATCTATCTACCTACCTACCCATCCATCCATCCATCCATCTTCATCTATCTATCCATCTTCATCCATCCATCTATCATCTATCTATCTATCTCTGTCTCTATCTTCATCTATCTTCATCTGTCTATCCATCTATCTCCATCTATCCATCTTTATCCATCTATCATATCTATCTATCTATCTATCTATCTATCTTTATATCTATCTACCTACCCACCCATCCATATCTATCTATCTTTATATCTACCTATCTACCTACCTACCCACCCATCCATTCTATCTATCCATCTACCTACCTACCTACCCACCCACCCATCCATCCATCCATCCATCCATCCATCCATCCATCTACCTACCTACCCATCCATCCATCTATCTTCATCTATATATCCATCTATCTATCTATCATCTATCTCTGTCTCTATCTATCTTCATCTATCTTCATCTGTCTATCCATCTATCTCCATCTATCCATCCATGTTCATCCATTCATCTATCATCTATCTATCTATCTATCTATCTATCTATCTATCTATCTACCTTTATATCTATCTACCTACCTATCTTCCTACTACCCACCCATCCTACCTATCTTCCTACCTACCCACCCATCCTATCTACCTACCTACCTACCCATCCATCCATCTACCTACCCATCCATCCATCCATCTAGCTTCATCTATCTATCCATCTTCATCCATCCATCTATCATCTATCTATCTATCTCTGTCTCTATCTATCTTTATCTATCTTCATCTGTCTATCCATCTGTCTATCTCCATCTATCCTTCCATCTTCATCCATCCATCTATCTATCATCTATCTATCTATCTATCTATCTATCTATCTATCTATCTATCTATCTATCTATCACCTCTCTCCGTCCGTCCATCCATCCTGTCTGTCTGTCTGTCTCTCTGTCTCTTCTATGCTCTATGGTAAGCTGGTGAGAGTCTTCAGATTCTGGTGGTATATAAATACACTTAATAAATTAATCCACAAAGGTTCACTCCCGTGCCAAGGGGATCTTTATGGAATATAAATAGCAAATAACTACAAGGCCTGGAGTATGTGCTCTGCTTTGCATCGGGCCAGGTTCCAATTTAAGTGCTTCTATTGAAAACGATCTTTTCCAAAAGTCAGGAGGGGCCAGAATCCCGGTGAGCTACCAGAGCAGGTGTCTGTGGACCACAGTGCCCATACACTGGGCTTTGTAGTCCTTAATGGAAAGAGCAAATGTCGCTTGGACACTTGTGGTGGTCTTGAGACTGAAGGAGAAAAGTGGTGGCTGAAGAGAAGTGGACACCTTCCTTTGTCGCCTGTTACTCCGGATAGCGAAATGAGCAGCATACAGGTAGTCCTCGACTTAACGACCGTTTGTTTAGTGACCGTTCAAAGTCACAACGGCACTGAAAAGAGTGCATTTTGACTTTTTGCACACTTAACCACCGTGGCAGCATCTCCCCCCCCCCCATGGTCACGTGGTTAAAATTCGGATCCTTGGCAATTAGCTCCTATTTACAACGGCTGCCGGGATCACACAAACAACTTTTGTGTGACTGTCTGACAAGCAAACTTGACGGGAGAAGATTCACTCAACAAGCAGGTTACTAACTGATCAACTGCAGTGGTTCGCTTAGCAACTGTGGCAAGAAATGGGGGTGGTGGGAACTCACTTAACAACTGTCTCGCTTAGCAACGGAGACTTCGGGCCTGATTGTGCTCGTAATTCGAAGCGTAGGTGTATAAACCGGCTAAATAAATCAAATAAAATTGGGCAACTCTGTCTTCGCCAACGGTCCTGATCCCAGCTTGATCCTGAAGGAAGCACAGGATTTCCTTTTGTGGCAGGGTCCAAAGGCTTGCAGAGGTCACCCTTCCAATCTCATCTTTATTTATATTTATCTATAAATATAACCGCGCCTGTTTCAGGCTGGAGGCGTTTGGCATAGCAGATCGAGTTGAGAAGCGGGTTAGACCCGGACGAAAAGGTGGGATGCTCATCGCTACCCTTGCAGCGTCGGTCCCAGCACAAACTGCGGGGATTGTTTTGCACCCAGAGAAAGGACGTGGCCCAGGGCAAGATAGATGATCTTTTAATGGCCCTCTGTTTTCTGTTGCAGGATATGCGGAAACACGTCACTATGACCCTGTTGGACACGGAGCAGTCGTACGTGGAGTCTCTCCGTACCTTGATGCAGGTAAATCATGCACGTGGCAGGAAACAGAATGGAATGCAGCTGGAAGGGACCCATGGAGGTCATCTAGTCCAACCCCCCCCCGCCCCCCCCCACTCAAGCAGGAGACCCTTACAGAATCTTCGAATAGCAGAGTTGGAAGGGACCTTGGAGATCATCTAGTCCAGTGGTTCTCAACCTTTTTAATGCCGCGACCCCCCAATCGGTCATAAGTCGAGGACTACTCAACCGGTCGTAAGTCGAGGACTACTCAACTGGTGCAGCACCGTTTGCAGAATGGGACTTTTGACGGGCTCAGCAGGGCAGAAACAGCCTGGACAATTCCTATTGGCTTTTGAAAGCCAATAGAATTAGACTCTATTCAAGAGAGTCTCTTCTATTGGCTTTCGAAAGCCAATAGAAGAAAAGGGAGGAGCACAGCTAAGGAAAAGGGGGAAAAAAATGGCGGACTGCGTTGTTTGGCGACCCTCGTGAAATGGTTGTTCAACCCCAAATGGGGTCCCGACCCACAGATTGAGAACCGCTGATCTAGTCCAACCCCCTTCTCAAGCAGGAGACCCTTACAGAATCATAGAATAACGTTGGAAGGGACCTTGGAGATCATCTAGTCCAACCCCCTGCTCAAGCAGGAGACCCTTACAGAATCACAGAATAGCAGAGTTGGAAGGGATCTTGGAGATCATCTAGTCCAGTCCCCTGCTCAGCCCCCTGTTCAGTCTCTTCTTGAAAACCTCTAGTGATGGAGCATCCACAACTTCTGGTGGCCGGCTGTTCCACTGGTTAATTGTCCTCACTGTCAGGAAGTTTCTACTTAATTCCAGGTTGCTTCTCTCCTTGGTCAGTTTCTATCCGTTGCTTCTTGTCCCATTTTGGAGAATAAGTGGACCCCCTCTTCTCTCTGGCAGCCCCTCAAATATTGGGGCACTGCTATCATGTCATCCCTTTTTTTTTCATTAATCACTATATCTGTGGCATTAGGTTTTCCTTGCCTAAATGTAGAACCTTTTTTCACCATTGAATTTCATTTTCTTAGATAGCGCCCAGTGTTCAAGCTATGGTCGTATGTATGAGAACTGGTCATAAGTCACTTTTTCCAGTGATATTGTAACTTCAAACGGTCGCTGGATGAATGGGAGAGGACTGCCTGCACGTGGCATTACACACATCTACATAGCTTAATACATGTACAGAGCGGGTGCCCTTGCAGTCTTCCTGACCATTTCTACAGAGTTACAGGTAGTCCTCAATTATACAACCACAGTTGGGACCGGATCCGTTGCTAATCAAGATGGTTAAACCCAGCATGAATCTGCATCCTTGTAGCTTTGATCCTAGCGGCAACAGCAGCCAAAAGAGGGTTAAAAAAAAAAAGTTTGAGATGGTGGTTCTGTGACAGACAGAGCTTACGAGCGTTCTTGAGCATGGCTTAGTAATAATAATAGTAGTAATAGTAGTAGTAATAATAATAATAATAATAATAATAATAATAATAATAATAATAATAATAATAAAGTTGCAAGGGACCTTGGAGGTCATCTAGTCCAACCCTCTGCTCAGGCAGGAAACCCTATACCATTTCAGACAAATGGCTGTCCAGTCTCTTAGAATAGAATAGAGTTGGAAGGGACCTTGGTGGTCTTCTAGTCCAACCCCCTATACCATTTCAGACAAATGGCTATCCAGTCTCTTCTTAAAAACTTCCAGTGTTGGAGCATTCACCGCTTCTGGAGGCAAGGAGTTCCACTGGTTAATTGTTCTAACTGTCAGGAAGTTTCTCCTTAGTTCCAGGTTTCTTCTCTCCTTGATTAGTTTCCATCCGTTGCTTCTTGTCCTGCTTTGGGGAATAGCTTGACTCCGTCTTCTTTGGGGCAGCCCCTGAGATACTGGAAGACTGCTATCATGTCCCCCTTCGTCCTTCTTTTCTCTAGACTAGCCAAACTCAAATACTGCAACTGTCCCTCATATGTTTTAGCCTCCAGTCCCCTAATCATCTTTGTTGCTCTTCTCTGCCCTCTTTCTAGAGTCCCAACCTCTTTTTTACATCGTGGTGACCAAAACTGGATGCAAGATTCCAAGTGTAGCCTTACCAAGGCCTTGTAAAGTGGTATTAACCCTTCACGTGATCTTGATTCTATCCCTCTCTTAAGGCATGTGTGTGTAGAGTTCCCAGTTCTGGATATTTTAAATTAAACCCCTCTGAATTATCAGGTTATAAAAAAAGGGGGCGGGTCCTGATGTGTCTATTCCAGGACATCTGCCCTCCATCCGGGAGACCGACTTCCTGTGTTTCTAAAAGCAGTTATTTTGGTTTCCCTCTTCTCTTCTTCCAGGGTTACATGAAGCCCCTGAAACAGCCGGAAAATTCCACTCTCTGTGACCCCTCGCTGGTGGACGAGATCTTCGACCAGATTCCCGAATTGCTGGAACATCACGAGGAGTTCCTGGAGCAGATCTCCGAATGCGTCCAGAACTGGCACGAGAAGCAGAAAGTGGGAGATATCCTGGTGGAGTCTGTGAGTATCGCTCCGAAGTCACTACTTCCAACTTCCGGAGGAGAGGAGAGAAAGGGGAGGCGATGGGGGCTGCTTCTCGATCTTTATCAATGTTGGCTTGTTCAGGGCATGGAAGAAAACAACCATATTCCAATCTTCCTACTCTTTCTGAGACCCAGTAGCAATTCCCTTTATTTTCTTGCTTGTTCTTCTGTATCCAGGAGTGGCCAAAACGGTGGAAACCTTTTGGGAAAAGTGTACAGTAGAAATGCCACCTTTGGTTAAGTTTCTAGATGTGTGTGTGTGTGTGTGTGTGTGTGTGTGAGTGTGTGTATGTGTGTGTGTGTGTGTGTGTGTGTGTGTGTGTGTGAGAGAGAGAGAGAGAGAGAGAGAGAGAGAGAGAGAGAGAAAGAAAGAGAAAGAAAGAAAGAAAGGCAGGAATAGAAGATGGATGGATGGATAGATGGATGGATGGATAGATAGATAGATAGAGATGAGGCAGGCAGGTAGGCATAGAAGATGATGGATGGATGGATAGATAGATAGATAGATAGATAGATAGATAGATAGACAGACAGATAGGCAGGCAGGCAGGCAGGCAGGCAGGAATAGAAGATGGATGGATGGATAGATAGATAGATGGATGGATAGATAGAGATGAGGCAGGCAGGTAGGCATAGAAGATGATGGATGGATAGATAGATAGATAGATAGATAGATAGATAGATAGATAGATAGATAGATAGATAGATAGATAGATAGACAGACAGATAGGCAAGCAGGCAGGCAGACAGGAATAGAAGATGATGGATGGATAGGTAGGTAGGTAGATAGATAGATAGATAGATAGATAGATAGATAGATAGATAGATAGATAGATAGATAGATAGATAGATAGATAGATAGATAGATAGATAGATAGATAGATAGATAGATAGATAGATAGATAGATAGATAGATAGATAGATAGATAGATAGATAGATAGATAGATGATAGGTAGATAGATGATAGATAGATAGATAGATAGATAGATAGATAGATAGATAGATAGATAGATAGATAGATATAGATATGACAGACAGACAGACAGACAGACAGACAGACAGACAGATAGATAGATATTTTTCTTCTAATTTCTTTATAACTGTAGTCTTGTTCACTTAATAATACTATTTTACATTGCTTTCTGGGCAACCAGTCAACTCTTTGCACCGTGACTTTAATTTTATGACCTTTTACAAGCTCACTAAATGAAAGAACTCAAAAAACCCCAGCCAACTTGATAGCGATCACATAACACACTGACAAATGTCCTCTTCTCAGCTTCAATACATGACATCAATAACTGGATCCTACTGTGATCTGATTAACTCATTGCCGAAACAAGATGACATCTGATTGGCTCTCTAAACGCTCGTGCTCATTGGCTACAATCAGAAGGAGGAAAGCTACCTGAGATCAACCTGAGCAAGTTGTGCTTCCTTTTTCTGGTGATTTGGCTATAACTTTTCATAGAATATAGATAATTGAACAGTACAGATAATTGAACAAACTTCATTGCATTACATTCTTGATTAAATTATCTTTCCATTGATATATAATTTTATGGTACTACTCCCCCCCCCAAAAAAATAGTGTTATTAGCCATCAAACCTCAAAAATACACTTTTCCTAAAAGGTTTCCACAATTTTGGCCACTACTCTAAATCTCCAGTGAGATGAGCAGCCTATCAATTTAGTACATAAATTAAATAAAAAACTAGTATGGCCTAGTGGTTAGAGGCACCAGACTAGAAACGGGGAGATGGTCAGTTCAAGTCCCGCCTTAGGTACGAGAACCAGTTGGGTGACTTTGGCCCTAAATCATCTAGTGGTCTTTCATCCCTAAGGAGGAGACTAGAACTCACCATCACCTGGTGATTGGCCCAAAGTCACCCAGCTGGCTTTCATGTCTAAGGTGGGACTAGGATTCACTGTCTCCTGGTGATTCGTCAAGGTCGTCTAGTCGGCTTTCATGCCTAAGGCAGTACTAGAACTCACCATCTCCTGGTGATTGGCCCAGAATCACCCAACTAGCTTTCATGGCTAAGGTGGGGCTAGAATTCACCGTCTCCTGGTGATTGGCCTAAAGTCGTCTAGTCAGCTTTCATGCCTAAGGCAGGACTAGAACTCACCGTCTCCTGGTGATTGGCCCAGATTCACCCAACTAGCTTTCATGGCTAAGGTGGGACTAGAACTCACCATCTCCTGGTGATTGGCCCAAAATCACTCAACTAGCTTTCATGGCTAAGGCGGGGCTAGAATTCACCGTCTCCTGGTGATTGGCCCGAAGTCGGCTACTTGGCTTCCATGGCTAAGGCAGGACTAGAACTCACCGTCTCCTGGTGATTGGCCCAAAGTCACCCAGCCAGCTTTCATACCTAAGACAGAACTAGAACTCACGGTCTCCTGGTTCCCAGGTCAGCACCTTAAGCACTATATCAAACTGGGTCTTCCTCAGTCTGACTCTGGTCTGCAGCTCCATTATTACCTGGGCCTAAGTCAGTGGTTCTCAGTTTTTTTAATGCCGCGACCCCCCCAACCAGTCGTAAGTCGAGGCCTACTCAACCGGTCGTAAGTCGAGGCCTACTCAACGGGTGCAGCACCGTTTGCAGACTGGGACTTTTGGCGGGCTCAGCAGGGCAGAGACAGCCTGGACAATTCCTATTGGCTTTTGAAAGCCAATAGAATTAGACTCTATTCAAGAGAGTCTAATTTCAAAAGCTAATAGAATAAAAGGGAGTAGCACAGCTAAGGAAAAGGGGGGGAAAAATGGCGGACTGCGTTGGTTGGCGACCCCCGTGAAATGGTCGTTTGACCCCAAATGGGGTCCCGACCCACAGGTTGAGAACCACTGGCCTAAGTGTACTTCGAGGTTAACCCAGATTGGCCTTCTAGCCGTACATTTGAACCCAGGAATTAAGTTTCAAGAGGAACAACGTTGAGGAGGTGCTTCGGAGGCAACCGAAGGTGACTCAAAGACATGATTGGTTAACTCCAAATCTGATTCTGGCAGTCCCTTGGGCAAAATGTTCTCCCACTTATGGACCATCTGGTGCATCAAATGTGCCAGCTGGAAGTTCACGTGGGAGGTTTCTGGTAAGTTGCAAAATTGTCTTGTTCAGCTTGGAATGGCTGCTAACAATTCTCGTGGGTTCTTCTGTCTGGGTAGGCCTAGGGCAGGGATAGGAAACCCTGGCTCTTTTATGATCCGTGGACTTCAACTCCCAGAATTCCTGAGCCAGCCATGCTGAGGGGAAAGGGAGAGGTTTCCAAGCTGAGCCACGCTGGCTCAGGAATTCTGGGAGTTGAAGTCCACAAGTCATGAAGGAGCCATAGATCCCCCATGCTGGCTGAGGAATTCTGGGAGTTGAAGTCCACGAGTCATGAAGTGTCCAAAGTTTCCCTCATGCTGGCTCAGGAATTCTGGGAGTTGAAGTCCACGAGTCATGAAGAGGGCCATAGTTCCCCCATGCTGGCTCAGGAATTCTGGGAGTTGAAGTCGACGAGTCATGAAGGGGCCATAGTTCCCCTATGCTGCCTCAGGAATTCTGGGAGTTGAAGTCCACAAGTCATGAAGCGGCCATAGTTCCCCCATGTTGGCTCAGGAATTCTGGGAGCTGGTCCATGAGTTATAAAAGAGCCAAGGTTGCCTACCCCTGGCCTAGGGAATACAGGTACTCCTTGACTTATGACTACAATTGAGCTGAAATTTCTGTCGCTAAGCGAGGCAGTTGAGCGAGTTTTGCCCCGTTTCACGACCTTCCTTGCCACCATTGCTAAGCGAATAGCTGCAGTAATTAAGTTAGTAACGTTGTTGTTAAATGAATCTGACTTCCCCATTGACTTTGCTTGTCAGAAGGTCACAAAAGGGGATCATGTGATCCCTGGACACTGCAACCGTCATCAATACGAGTCAGGTAGCCAAGCGTCTGAATTTTGATCACATGATCACGAGGAAGTTGCAACGGTCGTAAGTGTGAAAAAGTCACTTTTTTCCGTGCCGTTGTAACTTTGAACGGTCACTAAATGTTGTAATTCGAGGACTTCCTGTACATCTGTTATGGCCCCTAGTTGAATACTGACAAATATATTACAACAATATTATTTTCCCGCCCCTCGCTAAGAAGTTTAAAATTTTTAAACTTTTAACTGTCAAGGTATTGATTTAACAGCTAACCAGCTTATGTAATGGAAGATTTAAGATGTAATGATGGGAATGACTCAGCAGGGTCTGAGTCTCTTTAAGAGCCGTGGTATAAAGTTGTTCTCTCTCTTCCGTTACCTGCTATAACTGTGATTTGTTGGAGCCTGCTGTATTAGCACGTGTATGTATATTGTTCCTGGTGTACAATATTGTAGCTAGTGTAAGATAAACCATCATTTACTATAGACCATTTTATTGGGTTTACTCCTGGTTTATCTCGCACAATAAGACTCTGCACGCTCTGACATGAACTCTATTTGCAAGTTAAGCCATCTAACTGCTGTATTAATGTCATAATGGTTAACAGGTAGAACAACAGCACAATTAACATTTCAAAACCCTATCTTAACAATCTATTTAAACTAGTAGTTAACTCGTAGAAAGAGTATCGTGGCTTCTTGCATTGTCCCGAATCACCCCAGGCAATTAACTCTCGATCCTTTCTGGATCAAACATGCCTCGTTTGCACGTTTGTTCATTCTTTTGCTCTCTTTTTTTTTTCCTTTAGTTTTCCAAAGACATCTTGGTGAAGATTTATTCCGCCTACATCGATAACTTCCTGAACGCCAAAGATGCCATAAGGATCGCGAAGGAAGCCCGACCAGCGTTTATGAAATTTCTGGCGGTAAGGGGGGCTGACCGTGTGCCCTGATCTTTTTGCAAAACAGGCTAAAAGGTTGAACAGAAAAAAAAAGCCTTCCAAGAAACGATCGGATCGACTTTCAGATCACTAGTTCTTGCCTCACTGATTGGGATCTCATGGGATTCCAAGAAAGCCATTAGGGATTTGTGGAGATTTGTGGCTGGATCGGCTGGGCCTTTCCCCTCTTTCTTACAAATGCACTCTCTTTCCTTGCCATCACAATAATAATAATAAAGTTGGAAGGGACCTCGGAGGTCATCTAGTCCAACCCCCTGCTCAGGCAGGAAACTTACAATATACCATTCCAGACAAATGGCTGTCCAGTCTCTTGTTAATTGTTCTGTCAGGAAGTTTCTCCTTAGTTCTAGTTTGCTTCTCTCCTTGATGAGTTTCCATCCATCATCTTGAAATGTGTTGACCACCATAACAGGAACATATTAAATAACTCTCTGCAGCACTATTTCAGCCTCTAAGTAAAAACAATCCTGGGTTCCATTCATTGGGAAGGGGATAGTTTTATTAGAAGTCAAATGGATTGCACTCAAGCGCAGCCGGAACTGAGATTTGCGGGCCCAAATCCCTAAGTTCAACTTTTCCCTCCCATCGCCAATTCCCTCGTAAACAGTTCGATTCGGGCAAGATGTTTTCAGAACAGTCAGTTCAAGCCTCGATTATAAATGCAGCTGCCTTCTTCTCCTAGCCATGTGACCTTGAAGCATCATCTCAGAGAGATAGTAGTAAAGTAAAGTTGGAAGGGACCTTGGAGGTCATCTAGTCCAACCCCCTGCTAAGGAAGGAAACCCTATACCATTTCAGACAAATGGCTGTCCAGTCTCTTCTTAAAAACCTCCAGTGTTGGAGCATTCACCGCTTCTGGAGGCAGGTGGTTCCACTGGTTAATTGTCCTCCCTGTCAGGAAGTTTCTCCTTAGTTCTAGGTTGCTTCTCTCTTTGATCAGTTTCCATCCGTTGCTTCTTGTCCTGCCTTCAGGCGCTTTGGAGAACAGCTTGACTCCCTCTTCTTTGGGGCAGCCCCTCAGATACTACAACACTGCTATCATGTACTCCCTTGTCCTTCTTCATTAAACTAGACATACCCAATTCCAGCAACTGTTCCTTATATGTTTTAGCCTCCAGTCCCCTAATCATCTTTGTTGCTCTTCTCTGTACTCTGGTTTCCAGAGTCTCAACATCTTTTTTACATCGTGGGGACCAAAACTGGATGCAGTATTCCAAGTGTGGCCTTACCAAGGCCTTGTAAAGTGGTATTAACACTTCACGTGATCCTGATTCTATCCCTCTGTTAATGCAGCCCAGCACTGTGTTGGGTTTTTTGGCAGCTGCAGCACACGGCTGGCTCCTATTGAAGTAATTAGTAATAGTAATAGTAATAGTAGTAAAGTTGGAAGGGACCTTGGAGGTCATCTAGTCCAACCCCCTGCTCGGGCAGGAAACCCTACACCATTTCGGACAAATGGCTGCCCAGTCTCTTCTTAAAAACTGCCAGTGTTGGAGCATTTACTGCTTCTGGAGGCAAGCTGTTCCACTGATTAATTGTTCTCACTGTCAGGAAGTTTCTCCTTAGTTCTAGGTTGCTTCTCTCCTTGATTAGTTTCCACCCGTTGCTTCTTGTCCTGCCTTCAGGTGCTTTGGAAAATAGCTTAATTCCCTCTTCTTTATGGCAGGCCCTGAGATATTGGAATACTGCTATCATGTCCCCCCTTGTCCTTCTCTTCGTTAAACTAGACATACCCAATTCTCGCAACCGTTCCTTATATGTTTTAGCCTCCAGTCCCCTAATCATCTTTGTTGCTCTTCTCTGTACTCTTTCTAGAGTCTCAACATCTTTTTTACATCGTGGTGACCAAAACTGGATGCAGTATTCCAAGTGTGGCCTTACCAAGGCATTGAAGAGTGGTATTAATACTTCACGTGATCTTGATTCTATCCCTCTGTTAATGCAGCCTAGCACTGTGTTGGCCTTTTTGGCAGCTGCAGCACACTGCTGGCTCATATTTAAGTGATTGTCTACTAGGACTCCGAGGTCCCTCTCACAGTTACTACTATTGAGCATGGTGCCACCTATGCTGTACTTGTGCATTTGGTTTTTCTTGCCTAAATGTAGAACCTTGCTTTTTTCACCATTGAATTTCATTTTGTTAGTTAGTGCCCAGTGTTCAAGTCTGTCCAGATCCTTCTGTATCTGAAGCCTGTCTTCTGGAGTGTTGGCTATTCCTGCCAGCTTGGTGTCCACTAGGACTCCGAGGTCCCTCTCACAGTTACTGCTATTGAGCAAGGTACCCCCTATACTATACCTGTGCATTTGGTTTTTCTTATATAGCAGTTACTTTCGTTTCCCCCGAAGTATTCACCCTCCCGTTTATTGCATGGCAGCGAAGAAGCAAGCTTGAGGTGGCAGCTGACATTCTCATTGTAAAACTGTTCAAGGCGAAATCTTTCTAAAGTCAGCTTAATTTCTCTGGTTTTGTTCTTTTGTTCCTCTTCTTTTTCTGTTCCTTTTTCTTTTGCCCATCTGTGCCTCTGTCTGTTGTGTGCATTCATTCATTCATTCTCTGCTTCTGATGTTCTGTTTTTGTTTTTTTTTTTAAAGGATCCATCTGGCTATTTAAAGCTTCTTGGATTGCAGTCAATAACTAGGCTTGTGAGCTTGGTGCACGTCAGCACCTTGTCCAGTCAAATGCTTTGGGGACTACATATCCCATCATCCCTTAACCTTGGCCATATTGATTGAGGAGGCCTTTGTGCCCGCTGAGCTGGGTTATTTCTTGCAGACAACTCATTACCCAACTAGGTAACATCATCATCATCATCATCAAAGTCACCCAGCTGGCTTTCATACCTAAGGCAGGACTAGAACTCACCGTCTCCTAGTGATTGGTCCAAAGTCACCCAGATTCATGCCTAAGACAGGACTAGAACTCACTGTCTCCTGGTGATTGGCCCAAAGTCACCCAGATTTCAAGCCTAAGACAGCACTAGAATTCACTGTCTCCTAATGACTGTCCCAGAGTCACCTAGATTTCAGACCTAAGGTGGGACTAGAACTCACTGTCTCTTAGTGATTGGCCCAAAGTCGCCCGGATTTCATGACCAAGATGGACTAGAATTCACTGTCTCCTGCTGATTGGCCCAAAGTCACCCGGATTTCAGGGCTAAAGTGGTGCTAGAATTCTCTATCTCCTGCTTTCCAGTTGGTGCCTTAACTACTAGATCAGTGGTGGCGAACCTATGGCACGGGTGCCAGAAGTGGCACTCAGAGCCCTCTCTGTGGGCACGTGCGCCATGCCCCGGAGATGACAACCCTCCCTCTTCAACCAGCCGCCTGCTAAGTCACCGAGGTCCCATGTGGCCGGATGCATCCCAGCACGGCTGGTTTCCCTCCCCCCCCCCGGCCCGTCCCTCCTGGCCTCGCATGTTCTCCTTTTTCTGGGCATGACCCATTGCATCGCCTCCTCAGCTGTCGGCCGGCCGTCCAGCTCAGAGGTGGCTTCTCTGAACTGCTAGTGGGGGGCTGCGGAGCCCCAGAGCGTGCTGGTCAAGGGGCCGGCAGGCTATGGCTACTGATGGACATTGTCGGCCCCCATGCGCATGGCTGGCCTCTGTGTGGGGGGGCCGATGGTGTCAGGCAGCAGCCACCCTGGCCCCGCCTCGCCTTCCCTGCGACAATGGTACCACCGCCCTGCCTCACCTTACCCCACAAGACGAGCGTCCTGCCCACCGCCCCACCTGCCAGAGACCCCCTGGATCTCCCCCAACCCTACCCAGCCCGCACAGGTGTCCCTCCCTATGAGCAACGTCGAGGTGACCATGTCTACCTTGGCCACACCGACCGTCTGCCATGACCACCACAGCCACGCCCTCCTGGCCCCCGGCGACGAATAAGTGGGTTTTGGGTTGCAGTTTGGGCACTCGGTCTCTAAAAGGTTCGCCATCCCTGTCCTAGATCAAACATGTCACCCCAGTTATGAGTAAATTATTGAATATTATCATTGTTATTATTATTATTAATACTTTAGTGTAGTGGAATTTTTATTATATTGTATTGTTTATAAATTGGGATTTTAATTTGTTTATATCAGTGGTTCTCAACCTGTGGGTCGGGACCCCATTTGGGATCAAACGACCATTTCACGGGGGTCGCCAAACAACGCAGTCCGCCATTTCCCCCCCCTTTTCCTTAGCTGTGCTACTCCCTTTTATTCTATTGGCTTTTGAAAGCCATAGAATAGACTCTCTTGAATAGAGTCTAATTCTATTGGCTTTCAAAAGCCAATAGGAATTGTCCAGGCTGTCTCTGCCCTGCTGAGCCCGCCAAAAGTCCCATTCTGCAAACGGTGCTGCACCCGTTGAGTAGTCTTTGACTTACGACCAGTTGAGTAGTCCTCGACTTACGACCGGTTGGGGGTCGCGACATTAAAAAGGTTGAGAACCACTGGTTTATATGATAAAGTTTATTTGTAAATTGTTTATTCTGTGTTAAAAGAGAGTTAAAGCGCATTATATTTGTTTATCTACATAGTTGGTTAATGTTAGTTAGATTATAATTATTATATTTGTTACCCTGTATTCAGCTCTGGGAAGTGGGATAGGGGGGTAAGGGGGGTGGGTTTGGGGTATATTTTGTAATTTTTGTAAAACTTTTCAATAAAAATAATAATAATTAAAAAAAAACATGTCACCCCAGATTTTTAATTTTGGATATTTAAGTCTCTCTTTTTTTATTCTTCCTTGTCCACTGTAGCAAAGCATGCGGGAACACAAAGAGAAACAGGCACTGTCTGATCTGATGATCAAACCGGTGCAACGGATTCCACGCTACGAACTTCTGGTCAAAGTGAGTATTCCAACAGGGCTGTTTATTTCGGCTCAAAAGGAGCCACAATTGACGACGCGCTGCGGAAACGCAGCTTTTTTTAACCGGGCTGACCTCCGAAACATATGCCCGTCTTCCTCGACATAACGACCACAAGGGAGCTCAGAGATGGCTGTTATTTTGTGGAACTTTGCCCCATTTTACGACCTTGCCTGCCACGGTCGTTCAGCGAATCACTGCAGTGGTTAAATTGGTAACGCGATTGTGAAGTGAATCCGCCTTCCCCCGTTGACTTTGCTTGTCAAAAGGTCGCAAAACGGGATCACGTGAACCCCCCCCCCCGGAACACTGCGACCGTCATAAATGTAGGTCATAGTATAGGGTTTCCTGCCTGAGCAGGGGGTTGGACTAGATGACCTCTAAGGTCCCTTCCAACATTATTATTATTATTATTATTATTCATTAGACATAAACCTCAGTCAATTGAACATTCAAATTGGCTGCTGCTGATGGTTGACACGGGTTGCTACCAGCATCTTAGGTGTCAACCAGGTATATCATCATCATCATCATCATTATTATTATGGATCATCGCACAGTCAGCCAGATGTTCAGACTGGGTTTGGCATTTTTGTCTACCTATCGAGTCCTTCCCAAGGACCTGGGATAGGCAGATGTGGATGTTTGATGGTATTACAGGTATCGTCGCAGGATGGAAGCAGTTCCTAATAAGGCCGCCTTTTGCAATTGACTAATAGCGAATTTGTCAATGCCAAGGGTGTTCAAGTGGTGCTCCAGTTGTTTTGGGATTGCACCCGAGGCGCCTATGACTATTAGTACTACCCTTGCTTGCCTTTGCCACAGTCTTTCTATTTCTATTTGTAGGTCTTTGTATTTTGTTATCTTCTCCAGTTCTTTCTCTTCTGTTCTGCTGTCTCCAGGCACTGCCACGTCCACTATCCAGACTTTTTTGTCTTTCTTATCGACAATTGTTAAGTCCGGGGTGTTATGTTGCAGGTGCTTGTCTGTTTGAATTCTGAAGTCCCAGAACAGTTTAATTTTATCATTTTCTATGACTTTCTCTAGTTTATGATCCCACCAGTTCTTGCTTGCAGGCAAATGGTATTTTTTGCAGATCTTCAATGCACCATTGTTGCTACTTTGTCATGCCGCTGCTTGTAGTCAGTCTGTGCAATCTTCTTGCACAGCTTACCAGGTGGTCCACTGTTTCTTCAGCTTCTTTGCATAGGCGGCACTTACTGTCTGTTGCTGTCTTCTCTACTACTACTACTACTACTACTACTATTATTATTATTATTAAATATCAGCCAGTTGCCAAGCATCCGAATTTTGATCACATGATCAAGTGTCGTAAGGGTGAAAAACAGTCATCAGTCACCTTTTTTAATGCCGTTACAACTCCGAACCGTCACTAAGAGAATGATTGTAAGTCAAGGACTACCTATAACATTTATTTTTGGGCTCCTAATGTCAGTCTTATTTTCAAGGCTATTATTCATCTTCCTTCATCTTTGGCTTCCTTGCTTCGCTTCGTTTTAGTTCTCTGTTTTTTCAAACCGTCTTTTAACCAAACGCTCCACCATGATTGGCTGCTGGAAAAGAAAATCCATTTTTTTCTTTTCTCTTTGCTCCCTGAAAATTCCCCAAGGGAGATTTCTTGTGTAAACTTGGAGAGTAGAGGAAGCCAGTGAGCCCTGGATATTTTCCATGGGAAATTTTCTCTCTGGGTTTTTTTCTGTGGAGGTGCTGTGTTCTTTTGCTCTGATTTTTTGGGTGGTGTGGAAGCTGGATGGTCAGTTTTTCAAGCTGAATTCCTTGAATATTTGACATGCCTTCTCAAAGCCCCAGTTTGGAACTCTTTAGAAAAAGGCAGATTACTCCTTTTGGATCGCTGAGACTTCCAATCTTCAGGAGAAAAGAAATCTTTTTTTATTAAAAAAAAATGGCCCTGATCCACACATTTGAAGGAAAACATATCTGGCTATCATCCCGGGAGATGTGGAATAGAGGTAGTCTAAAGAGATTAGAATTAGAATTACAATTAGGGATAGGATAGAACAGTGGTGGTGAACCTAATGGTGGTCACCCAGCCATTTTTCCTGCGTAAGGCAGAACTAGAACTCACTGTCTCCTGGTGATTGGCCCAAGGTCATCCAGCCAGCTTTCATGGCTAAGGTGGGACTAGAACTTGCCATCTCCTAGTTCAATGGTGGCGAACCTATGGCACGTGTGCCAAAGGCGGCACTCAGAGCCGTCTCTGTGGGCACGTGCACCATGCCCCGGAGATGGTAACTGTCCCTCTTCAACCAGCCGCCCGCTAACTCGCCAAGGTCCCATGTGGCTGGATGCATCCCAGCACCCATGCGCTCGCTGGCCTCTGTGTGCAGGGGCCAATGGGGTCAATCAGTAGCCGCCCCGGCCCCTGCCTCACCTTACCCTGTGACAATGGCACCCCCGCCCTGCCTCGCCTGGCCTCGCCTCACCCCACAGGATGAGCCTCCTGTCCACCGCCCCACCTGGCCGAGACCCCCTGGATCTCCCCCAGCCTTGCCCAGCCCCCACAGGCATCCCTCCCCACAAGCAACATCGAGGTGATCACACCCACACCCACCCAACCATGACCACCACAGCCACGTCCACCCAGTGACCCACGCCCACCTGGCACCCGGCGATAAATAAGTGGGTTTTTGGTTGCAGTTTGGGCACTCGGTCTCTAAAAGGTTCGCCATCACTGGGATAGAATAGAATACAATACAATACAATACAGTACAATACAAAAAAATAGAAAAGAAATATAGAATAGAATAGAATAGAATAGAATAGAATAGAATAGAATAGAATAGAATAGAATAGAATAGAATAGAATAGAATAGAATAGAATAGAATAGAAACATAGAATAGAAAAGAAATATAAAGTAGAATAGAACACTACAGAACAAAATAGAATAGAATAGAATCGAAATATAGAATGGAATAGAAAAGAAATATAGAATAGAAAAGAAATAGAATAGAATAGAAATATAGAGTAGAAAAGAAATATAAAGTAGAATAGAATAGAAATAGAATAGAACAGAATGCAGAATAGAAATAGAATAGAATACAGAATAGAAATATAGAATAGAATAGAAAAGAAATATAGAATAATAATAATAATAATAATAATAGTAGTAGTAAAGTTGGAAGGGACCTTGGAGGTCATCTAGTCCAACCCCCTGCTCGGGCAGGAAACCCTACACCATTTCGGACAAATGGCTGTCCAGTCTCTTCTTAAAAACTTCCAGAATAGAATAGAAAAGAAATATAGAATACAAAAGAAATATAGAACACAAAAGAATAGAAAAGAAATATAGAATAGAATAGAACAGAATAAGAAATAGAATAGAATAGAATAGAACAGAACAGAACAGAATAGAATAGAATAGAATAGGAATAATAGAGTTTGGAAGGGACCTTGGAGGTCATCTAGTCCAACCCCCCTCCACTGCCCAAGCAGGAGTCCCTACTACACCCTTTCTGACAGAGGGCAGTCCAGTCTCTTCTTCAAAGCTTCCGGTGATGAAGCTCCCACAATTTCTGAAGGCCACTCCTGTTCCCTTGTTCGATGGTTCTCGCTGTCCTTGACTTAACGATCCCAATTGAGCCCAACATTCCCATTGCTAAGCGAGGTGGTCGTTCAGTGAGTCCCAGCCCACTTTATGACCCTTTTGCCCTGGTTGTTGGGAGAGTCACTGCAATGGCTAGGGGTGAATCGTGCGGTCGTTAAGTGAATCTGGCTTCCCCGTTGACTTTGCTTGTCAGTAGGCCACAAAAGGGGATCAGATGACCCCGGGACACTGCAACTGTCGTAAGTACATGCCAGTTGCCCAGCCTCCAAAATTTGATCATGTGGCCGTGGGGATGCTGCAACAATTGTGTAAGGGTGAAAAACAGTCATAAGTCAATTTTTCCAGTACCATTGTAACTTTGAATGGTCATTTGGACCATCCAGCAGCACTGGAAAAAGTCACACAGCCAGTTTTCGTGCCTAAGGCGGGACTAGAACTCATCGTCCCCTTATGATTGGTCCAAAGCCACCCAGCCAGCTGTCATGCCTAAGGCGGGACTAGAACTCACTGTCTCCTGGTGATTGGCCCAAAGTCACCCAGTCAGCTTTCATGGCTAAGGCGGGACTAGAACTCACCCTCTCCTGATGATTGGCCCAAAGTCACCCAGCCAGCTGTCATGACTAAGGCGGAACTAGAACTCACTGTCTCCTGGTGATTGGCCCAAAGTCACCCAGCCAGCTTTCATGTCTCAGGTGGGACTAGAACTCACCCTCTCCTGATGATTGGCCCAAAGCCACCCAGCCAGCTGTCATGACTAAGGCGGGACTAGAATTCACTGTCTCCTGGTGATTGGCCCAAAGTCACCCAGTCAGCTTTCATGGCTAAGGCGGGACTAGAACTCACCGTCTCCTGGTGATTCGTCAAAGTCGTCTAGTCGGCTTTCATGCCTAAGGTAGGAATAGAACTCACCGTCTCCTGGTGATTGGCCCAAAATCACCCAACTAGCTTTCATGCTAAGGTGGGACTAGAACTCACCGTCTCCTGGTGATTGGCCCAAAGTCACCCAACTAGCTTTCATGGCTAAGGCGGGACTAGAACTCACCGTCTCCTGGTGATTGGCCCAAAGTCACCCAACTGGCTTTCATGGCTAAGGCGGGACTAGAACTCACCATCTCCTGGTGATTAGCCCAAAATCACTCAGTTGGCTTTCATGCCTAAGGTGCAACTAGAACTCACCGTCTCCTGGTGATTGGCCCAAAATCACCCAACTAGCTTTCATGCTAAAGCGGGACTAGAACTCACCGTCTCCTGATGATTGGCCCAAAGTCACCCAACTGGCTTTCATGCCTAAGGCGGGACTAGAACTCACCGTCTCTTGGTTCCTGCCTGGTGCCTTAACCACCAGAAGTGTGTCTGGGTGTAGGTGTGTATTTGTGGAATAAAATGATGATGACGGTGGTGGTGGAGAAGGAGGAATTTGCAGAAGAATCTTGAAATGGTATACAGTTCCCCGCCTGAGCATCGGGTTGGACTAGAAGACCTCTCAGGTCCCTTCCAACTCTGCTCTTCTGTTAGAAACAGGATGTTGGGCTCGGTGACCTTTGCCTGTTCCGAGAAAGATTTAATGCTTCCAGATTTTATTTTTATTTTTTATTGGAAATGGTTCTTTCGGAGCCCTTTTTTTGTTTTGTTTTGTTTTGTTTTAAGCTTCAGCCTCTCTAGCAAATGTCAACATTCGCCGGATTCCTAAGGCTTGAAGCAATACGCCGACGTTCCCCCACCCCACGGGCAGCTGCAAACTCAGATATTCTTGGCACGGGGAAAAAAAAAAGGAACCGGGAAGTCCAGGAAGCGTTCAGCGAAGAAATACAACCGCCAGGCTTAGCATAAAGAACACCGCCGCAATGTGACAAAAGGCAGAGAGGTTGTTGGCAACACCTCCGTTTACACCAGACGGCATGGCGGGGAGCTTGGACACACACACACACAAATCCTTCCTTTCCTGGCTCTTCGCTGCCCCTTATAAATAAATGAGCCCACACAGAATCGCCCTTCCGATTTCAGCCCGGTTAAGATTGATGCCCGGCAAGCTGGCACTCCATTATCTAAACAGGATTTCTTGCAGCTGGCCAAATTATCCAGGCCAATTTATGGGCTCTGGGTGGGATGAATCAGCCAGGAGCTGGTTATATTGCGGCAGAAAAGGCTGCTGTTGTTTTTTTTCCTGGTGCTTTTCCCGGCTTTCCAGAGGCTGCTCTGCTGGCACAGATCAGCGCCCAACAACACGTGTGGGCCCTCTTGAGCTTGCCAGAAGATGCGGTGAAATGGTGTGAAGGAATTGGGTATGTCTGGTTTGGTAAAAAAAAAAAGAAGGACCAGGGGCGACGTGCTAGCGGTCTTCCAATATTTGAGGGTCGGCCCCAAAGGAGAGGGAGTCAAGCTCTTCTCCAAAGCACCTTGAAGGCAGGACGAGAAGCGACGGATGAAAACTCATCAAGGAGAGAAGCAGCCTGGAACTGAGGAGAAATTTCCTGACAGGGAGAACAATTAGCCAGTGGAACTGCCTGCCTCCAGAAATTGTGAATGCTCCAGCACTGGACGTTTTCAAGAAGAGATTGGACAGCCATTTGTCTGAAATGATAAAAGGTTTCCTGCCTGAGCAGGGGGTTGGACTAGATGACCTCCAAGGTCCCTTCCAAACATCTAGTTTAATGAAGAGAAGGACGAGGGGGGACATGATAGCAGTTTTCCAGTATCTCAGGGGTTACCCCCAAGAAGAGGGAGTCAAGCTGTTCTCCAAAGCGCCTGAAGGCAGGACAAGAAGCAACAGGTGGAAACTGATCAAGGAGAGAAGCAACCTGGAACTAAGGAGGAATTTCCTGGTAGTGAAAACCAGTGGAATGCCCCTAAAAGTTGATTTTCCTTGATTTCCGAGGCTTAGGCTGATGCCTAATGCCAGCTTAGGCTGATGCCAAAAAAGCCAACACAATCCTAAGTTGCATTAACAGAGGGATAGAATCAGGATCACGTGAAGTGTTGATACCACTTTACAAGGCCTTGGTGAGGCCACACTTGGAATCCTGCATCCGGTTTTGGTCACCACTATATAAGAAAAGATGTTGAGACTCTAGAAAGAGGGCAGAGAAGAGCAACAGAGATGAATAGGGGACTGGAGGCTAAAACAATATGAAAAACGGTTGCTGGAATTGGGTCTGTCTAGTTTAATGAAGAGAAGGACAAGGGGGGACATGATAGCAGTCTTCCAATATCTCGGGGGCTGCCCCAAAGAAGAGGCAGTCAAGCTATTCTCCAAAGCACCCGAAGGCAGAACAAGAAGCAATGCATGGAAACTGCAAATTTTGATGAGTTCCCCGTCTATATGTGGGCACATGCATAATTCAGTATTTATTTATTTATTTATGTTTGTCATATTTATGTAGTAGTGTATATCGGCGATGGAGACCCTTTGAGAGCTGTACGCAACGAAATTTCATTTTAATGTAGCCGATTAGTCTGCATCCAAAGTGATAATAAAGTTATTATTCTATTCGTCTGTCCCAGGGGGTCTTCAAACGTGGGCCTTTTATAACTTGTGGACTTCAACTTCCAGAATTCCTCAGCCACGCTTCGTCACGCTGAGGAATTCTGGGAGTTGAAGTCCAGAAGTCATAAAAGGGCCAAGTTTGAAGACCCCTGGCTTAGGGTATTGTTTCTGGATGGCTGGGGAATTCTGGGAGTTGACGTCCATCCACGCTGACAGGAATTTTAGGTGAAGTCCATCCAGGCTGACTGGGGAATTCTGGGAGTTGAAGTCCATCCGTGCTGACTGGGGAATTCTGGGACTTGAAGTCCATCCATGCTGACTGGGGAATTCTGGGACTTGAAGTCCAGCCAGGCTGACAGGAATTTTAGGTGAAGACCATCCATGCTGACTGAGGAATTCTGGGAGTTGAAGTCCACCCATGCTGACAGGAATTTTAGGTGAAGTCCATCCAGGCTGACTGGGGAATTCTGGGAGTTGAAGTCCATCCATGCTGACTGGGGAATTCTGGGAGTTGAAGTCCATCCATGCTGACAGGAATTTTAGGTGAAGTCCATCCATGCTGACTGAGGAATTCTGGGAGTTGAAGTCCACCCATGCTGACAGGAATTTTCGGTGAAGTCCATCCATGCTGATTGGGGAATTCTGGGAGTTGAAGTCCATCCACGCTGACAGGAATTTTAGGTGAAGTCCATCCAGGCTGACTGGGGAATTCTGGGAGTTGAAATCCATCCAGGCTGGCTGGGGAATTCTGGGAGTTGAAGTCCACAGGTCATAAAAGGGCCACGTTTGAGGACCCCCAATCTATCCCCTCATCCAAGTCATTGATGACCACGTTGAAGAGCACAGGGCTTATTGTCTCTTCTCTGGTTTGTCCTCCACGCTGAGAGCAAACGGCGCCTGAGCTGAAACTTCCCCCCACCTTCCCCATCTAGGTTGTCTTCTGCTCTCACGCGAGCTTCTCTCTTCCCCACCAGGACCTTCTCAAACACACATCGGAGGAGCACCCGGACCACCCGTTCTTGATAGAAGCGCAGATGAGCATCAAGCAGGTCGCGGAGAAGATCAACAAAGGGATGAAGAGCGCGGAGGAGGTGGAGCGCAACGCTCGGATCGTGCAGGAGATCGAATCCCACATCGAAGGCATGGAAGACGTAAGTTCTGAAGTTCTCAGATGGGACAGGGTCCCCTCCACAAATTAATCGCAGCTAATTTAGGTTAGCTACACCACGCTTCTATCTTGGTGGATCTCCCCCCCCCCAAAAAAAAGTGGGGTCCTGTGTGCTTCTCTGAGCTGGGTAGTTTTCTTGCAGACGTTTCATTACCCAACTGGGTAATAGCATCAGTGCTAGAAGGGAGTGGAGTGTGTAGAGAGGAGGAGGAGGACCATGGGGTCCTGGGTGTCCTCTGAGCTGGGTTGTTTTCTTGCAGATGTTTCATGACCCAACTAGGTAATACCATCAGTGCTAGAAAAGAGAGGAGTTTACTCTTTGAAGCAAGCTACTTGTTTATAAATAGAAAACTCACTCCCTTCTAGCACTGATGATGTTACCTATTGGGTAAAGAAACGTCTGCAAGAAAACAACCAAACCCAGAGAGCACCAGGGACCCCACAGCCATCCTCCTCCCCCTCCTCCTCCTCCCCCCCCCTCTTCTTCCTCCTCCTCCTCCTCCTCCTCCTCCTCCTCTTCTCCCCTTCGTTTTCTCTTCCAGTCCACAAATCCCATTCCCTTCTAGCACTGATGATGTTACCTAGTTGGGTAAAGAAACATCTGTAAGAAAACAACCAAGCTCAGAGAGCATCAAGGACCTCACAGTTTAACCCGGAGTTACAAATATTCTCCTTTATTAGACTTTGGAATTATTGTAGACCGTTGCTGTTGAAGGTTCTCTAGAGTACTGACGATCTGATCTCTCACCTCTACAGCTCCAGGCTCCCCTTCGGAGGTTCTTACGGCAGGAGATGGTGGTGGAACTGGTAAGTACTCCTTGTTCAAAGGGTCCACATCTTGTAGAGCTTTGACACATAAATAGGAGCATCTCATAAAGCCTTAGTAAAACCACACTTGGAATCCTGCGTCCAATTTGGTCAGCATATTATAAAAAAGATGCTGAGACTTTCTAGAGTGCAGAGAAGACAACAAAGATGATCGGAGGACTGGAGGCTAAAACATATAAGGAATGGTTGCTGGAATTGGGGATGTCTAGTTTAATGAAGAGAAGGACGAGGGGGGACAGGATAGCAGCATTCCAGTATCTGAGGGGCTGCCCCAAAGAAGAGGGAGTCAAGCTATTCTCCAAAGCGCCTGAAGGCAGGACAAGAAGCAATGGGTGGAAACTAATCAAGGAGAGAAGCAACCTACAACTAAGGAGAGACTTCTAAATAGTGAGGACAATTAACCAGTGGAACCACCTGCCTCCAGAAGCGGTGAATGCTCCAACACTGGAAGTTTTTAAGAAGAGACTGGACAGCCATTTGTCTGGGGTGATATAGGGTTTCCTGCCTGAGTAGTGGGTTGGACTAGATGACCTCTAAACTCTGCTTTCCCCCAGAAGTGTGAGGTTAGCAACCCCCAGCCAAGTTTAGGGTGTTTTTTTTTTAAATAAATAAATGAATGAAAATAGATCAAATAAGAGGAAAGCAGTGTAATCTGGTGCCAGGGAATATAGACAGTCCTTGACAATTAAGTCCAAAATGTCAGCTACTAAGGGAGACGGTTGTTAAAATGAGTTCTGCCCCATTTTACGACCTTTCTTGCCGCAGTTGTTAAGAAAGACACGGCAGTCGTTAAATGAATCTGGTTTCCCCATTGATGTTGTTGGTTGGGAGGTCGTAAAAGGGCATCATATGACACTGTGACCTTCATTAATAATAATAATAATAATAATAATAATAATAATAATAATAATAATAATGCAGAATAGAATAGAATAGAATAGAATAGAATAGAATAGAATAGAATAGAATAGAATAGAATAGAAATATGGAATGGAATAGAACAGAATAGAATAATAAAATATAGAATGGAATGGAATAGAGTAGAGTAGAATAGAATAGAATAGAATTAGATAATAGAATAGAGTAGAATAGAGTAGAATAGAGAATATAGAATAGAATATAGAATAGAATAGAATAGAAAAATGGAATGGAATAGAATAGAATAGAATAGAATAGAATAGAATAGAATAGAATAGAAATATGGAATGGAATGGAATGGAATAGAATAGAATTAGATAATAGAATAGAGTAGAATAGAGTAGAATATAGAATATAGAATAGAATATAGAATAGAATAGAAATATGGAATAGAATAGAATAGAATAGAATAGAATAGAATAGAATAGAAATATGGAATGGAATAGAATAGAATAGAATAATAAAATACAGAATAGAATAGAATAATGGAATGAAATGGAATATAGAATAGAATATGGAATGGAATGAAATATAGAATAGAATAGAGCTGGAAGGGACCTTGGAGGTCTTCTAGTCCAGCCCCCTGCTCAAGCAAGAGAACCTATACCCTGTTTGATCATGGGGATGCTGCAGTGGTCGTAAGTGTGAAAAAAACTCATAAGTCACCTTTTTTTTTTCAGCCCCCTTGCGACTTCAAACAGTCAGCAAGCGAACGCTTGACTAGATGCCCAATTAGGGAGAGCCACTCTCTGTGTAACCATGAATTTTCATCCAGCCAGATCAAGAGAGACCTGTGGGGTCCCAAAGCTTGCATCCTGGCATGCCACAAGCTCCGTGTTTTTTCCCCGTGACTCTTCCTGGATCTCTTTACAGAAGCCGGTGGGCGGGAAGAAGGATCGGTCGCTGTTCCTCTTCTCCGACTTGCTGGTGTGCACTACGCTGAAACGCAAGTCAGGCTCTCTGCGACGGAGTTCCATGAGTCTGTAAGTATACAACCACACAACTCTTGTGGAGGATTTAGAGTCCGGGGATTTAGAGTCAAGAGGGCAGACGTGCACGTAAAAACACACTCTCCAGACCAATGCTTCTCAACTTCAGCAACATTAGCATGGGTGGGTTTTAGTTCCCCAGCGAGCACTTCAGCTCCCAGAATTCCTCTGTTAGTCTGAGTGGATTTCAGCTCCCAGAATTCCTCTGTTAGTCTGAGTGGACTTCAGCTCCCAGAATTCCTCCGTTAGTCTGAGTGGATTTCAGCTCCCAGAATTCCTCCGTTAGTCTGAGTGGACTTCAGCTCCCAGAATTCCTCTGTTTGAGTGGATTTCAGCTCCCAGAATTCCTCTGTTAGTCTGAGTGGACTTCAACTCCCAGAATTCCTCCGTTAGTCTGAGTGGACTTCAGCTCCCAGAATTCCTCCGATAGTCTGAGTGGACTTCAGCTCCCAGAATTCCTCTGTTAGTCTGAGTGGACTTCAGCTCCCAGAATTCCTCTGTTAGTCTGAGTGGACTTCAGCTCCCAGAATTCCTCGGATAGTCTGAGTGGACTTCAGCTCCCAGAATTCCTCGGATAGTCTGAGTGGATTTCAGCTCCCAGAATTCCTCAGTCTGAGTGGACTTCAGCTCCCAGAATTCCTCCGATAGTCTGAGTGGACTTCAGCTCCCAGAATTCCTCCGATAGTCTGAGTGGACTTCAGCTCCCAGAATTCCTCGGATAGTCTGAGTGGACTTCAGCTCCCAGAATTCCTCGGATAGTCTGAGTGGACTTCAGCTCCCAGAATTCCTCGGATAGTCTGAGTGGACTTCAGCTCCCAGAATTCCTCCGATAGTCTGAGTGGACTTCAGCTCCCAGAATTCCTCTGTTAGTCTGAGTGGACTTCAGCTCCCAGAATTCCTCTGTTAGTCTGAGTGGACTTCAGCTCCCAGAATTCCTCGGATAGTCTGAGTGGACTTCAGCTCCCAGAATTCCTCGGATAGTCTGAGTGGATTTCAGCTCCCAGAATTCCTCAGTCTGAGTGGACTTCAGCTCCCAGAATTCCTCCGATAGTCTGAGTGGACTTCAGCTCCCAGAATTCCTCCGATAGTCTGAGTGGACTTCAGCTCCCAGAATTCCTCTGTTAGTCTGAGTGGACTTCAGCTCCCAGAATTCCTCGGATAGTCTGAGTGGACTTCAGCTCCCAGAATTCCTCGGATAGTCTGAGTGGACTTCAGCTCCCAGAATTCCTCTGTTAGTCTGAGTGGATTTCAGCTCCCAGAATTCCTCAGTCTGAGTGGACTTCAGCTCCCAGAATTCTTCCGTTAGTCTGAGTGGACTTCAGCTCCCAGAATTCCTCTGTTAGTCTGAGTGGATTTCAGCTCCCAGAATTCCTCCGTTAGTCTGAGTGGACTTCAGCTCCCAGAATTCCTCTGTTAGTCTGAGTGGATTTCAGCTCCCAGAATTCCTCCGTTAGTCTGAGTGGACTTCAGCTCCCAGAATTCCTCTGTTAGTCTGAGTGGACTTCAGCTCCCAGAATTCCTCTGTTTGAGTGGATTTCAGCTCCCAGAATTCCTCTGTTAGTCTGAGTGGACTTCAGCTCCCAGAATTCCTCCGTTAGTCTGAGTGGACTTCAGCTCCCAGAATTCCTCCGTTAGTCTGAGTGGACTTCAGCTCCCAGAATTCCTCAGTTAGTCTGAGTGGACTTCACTTCCCAGAATTCCTCAGTTTGAGTGGACTTCAGCTCCCAGAATTCCTCCGTTAGTCTGAGTGGACTTCAGCTCCCAGAATTCCTTAGCCAGCCTATGTGGACTGCAATTTCCAGAATTCATCAGCCAGCAGGGGTAGACCTCAATTGACAAGAACTTCCCAGCTGATATGGCTGGACTTCAACTCCCAGAATTCTCCAGCTAGCATGCTAGCTGAGGAATTCTGGGAGTTGAAGTCCCAACATCTTCCAAGTGACTGATTTTGAGAAATGCTGCTCTAACACTGTTGATGCTGCTTTCTCACGAGACTTATACCCCACCTCTGCGTGCAAGCAAGCTGTTTCGTGCAATTACATTTACAGGTATTAAGACAACTCTTAAATTTTTCAGAGAAGGCACTAGGGCAGGGGTCTTCCAACTTGACCCTTTTATGACTTGTGGACTTCAACTCCCAGAATTCCTCAGCCAGCGTGCCTGGCTGAGGAATTCTGGGAGTCAAAGTCCACAAGTCTTAAAAGCCACCAACTTTGAAGACATTTGCCTCATACGCAGTCCTCAACTTACCACCACAACCGAGCCCAGAAATTTCCGTTGCTAAGCGAGGCAGTTGTTGAAGTGACCTGTACCTCAATTTTATGACCTTTTTTCCCCGGGGTTATTAAGCGAATGCTGCAGTCGTTAAGCGACTCATGCCATCGTTATAGGGAATCTGGCTTCACCCCTTGACTCTGCTTGTTGGAACCATCCTACAAATGGTGATCACGTGACCCTGGGACAGTGCAACTGACATAAGCCCCGGTCAGTTGCCAAGCCTCTAAATTTGGATCACGTGACCACGGGGATGCTGCAACAGTTTCAACGCTGGTGTAACTTGAAACGGTGGCTAAACAAATGGTCGTAGGCCAAGGATTTACCTGTATTAGATTTTGTTTTAAAGAAAAGTCTACTTTGAGATTGCAATTTCTCATTCTCCATTTTGCTTTCCAGCTACACAGCAGCCAGTGTGATTGACACTGCCAGCAAGTACAAACTGCTTTGGAAAATGCCTCTGGAGGACGTCGACATTGTGAAAGGTTTGTGATGCCATCAGGGTAAGAGTGACATAATAGCAGCCTTCCAGTATCTCAGGGGCTGCCCCAAAGAAGAGGGAGTCAAGCTCTTTTCCAAGGTGTTTAAAGTCAGGACGAGAAGCAACGGATGGAAACTCATCAAGGGAGAGAAGCAACCTGGAACTAAGGAGAAACTTCCTGACAGTGAGAACAATTAACCAGTGGAACCACCTGCCTCCAGAAGCGGTGAATGCTCCGACACCGGAAGTCTTTAAGAAGAGACTGGACAGCCCTTTATCCAAAATGGTGTAGGGTTTCCTGCCTGAGCAGGGGGTTGGACTAGATGACCTCCGAGGTCCTTTCCAATTCTGTTCCTGTGTTAATTATTCAGTGGAACTCATTGCCTCCAGAAGTGGTGGATGCTCCATCAGTGGAGGTTTTGAAGAAGAGACTGGACAGCCACTTGTCTGAAATGATCTAGGGTCTGCTGCTTGAGCAGGGGGCTGGAATAGATGACCTCCGAGGTCCCTTCCAGCTCTATTCTGGTTGATTGATTGATCGATTGGTCGGTTGATTGATTGATTGATGGCTGGTCTGGGACTGATAGAGCCCATGGGTGTAAAAGCTGCAGTCCTTAGAAAGAGTTTTCAGGAGCTTTTCTCTTCATCTGGGGGGCCGACTTGCAGGGCAGGTGCCAAACGTAGGTTGGGGGGATGTTTTCTGCAGAACTGACAGGATGAGCAGTCCTCCTGCTCCTCCTCTTCCTCCTCCTCCTCTTCCTCCACCACCACCACCACCAGCCCCTCCTCCTCTCTGCAAAATCCACTCCATAGCACTGATGACGTTACCTAGTTTGGCAATGAAACGTCTTACACGAAAACAACCCAACTCAGCGGGCCCTCCAGACACCAGCCCTCAGCCACAGCTATTCTCCTCTATTTAGCACAGTGGTTCTCAACCTTTTTAATGCCGCGACCCCCAACCGGTCGTAAGTCGAGGACTACTCAACCGGTCGTAAGTGGAGGACTATTCAACTGGTGCAGCACCATTTGCAGAATGGGACTTTTGGCGGGCTCAGCAGGGCAGAGACAGCCTGGACAATTCCTATTGGCTTTCCAAAGCCAATAGAATAAAAGGGAGGAGCACAGCTAAGGAAAAGGGGGAAAAAAATGGCGGACTGTGTTGTTTGGCGACCCCTGTGAAATGGTCGTTCGACCCCAAATGGGGTCCCCACCCACAGGTTGAGAACCACTGCCCTAGACCATTTCAGACAAATGGCTGTCCAGTCTCTTGGAATAGAAAAGAGTTGGAAGGGACCTTGGAGGTCATCTAGTCCAACCCCTTGCTCAGGCAGGAAACCCTATACCATTTCAGACAAAGGGCTGTCTGAAATGGGAATAGGGTTCACACGTGCTTCCAATGTTGCAAGGTCACCTCTCTCCATCTCTCAACCCACAGGTTGAGAACCACTGATTTAGCGTGTCAAGAGTGCAGGCAACCATCTAGGCAGAGAGAACCAAGCTGAACAACTCCACCCCTTTCTCTTGAGACAGCGGTTCTCCACCTGTGGGTCGGGACCCCATTTGGGGTCGAACGACCATTTCACGGGGGTCGCCAAACAACGCAGTCCGCCATTTTTTCCCCCCTTTTCCTTAGCTGTGCTACTCCCTTTTATTCTATTGGCTTTTGAAAGCCAATAGAATAGACTCTCTTGAATAGAGTCTAATTCTATTGGCTTTCCAAAGCCAATAGGAATTGTCCAGGCTGTCTCTGCCCTGCTGAGCCTGCCAAAAGTCCCAGTCTGCAAACGGTGCTGCACCCGTTGAGTAGTCCTCGACTTACGACCGGTTGAGTAGTCCTCAACTTACGACCGGTTGGGAGTCACGGCATTAAAAAGGTTGAGAACCACTGCTCTGAGAGATGACCTTATGGGCTATTGAGTCGATACGGCCCCAAGCCTTCAACGTGTTTTCTTTCTGCCCACGCAGGCACCTGTCAGTCCACCAACCGGGACAGCATCCAGAAAGCCATCTGCCGCCTGGACGAGGACCTCAGCACGCTGGGCCAAGTCAGCAAGCTCTCCGAGACCCTCAGCTTCCCCCACCAGGTGAGCGTCTTCCCCGTCAAAAAGTCGGAGGAGGAGGAGAGTTTAAATGGGGGGGGGGAGATTAAAGGTGAGCCGTCCAATCGAAACTACAAATTATGCCTAAAACGTTTTTCAGTCAAAATCACTACAGGTTAATCCTTGACTTGTCCCAAAGCTGCTTTTTCGGGAGGCAACTGGACTTCCTTTGTTTTTCCTGGAAGATGTTTCGCTTCTCATCCCAGAAGCTTCTTCAGTTCTGACCGGATGGTGGGGAAATGGAAGGATTTATACTCCTTGCAGAAAAACTGGTCATTTGCCTCCTTTGAGAGGGTCGTTGAGGCCACTTGGAGGTTTGTCTGTGTCCTCTGGATCACCCTGAGTGGTGCCAATGGGTGTGAAGCCTTCTTGGAACTGCTGAAAGGATTGTGTTGCAGATTGGAGATCGATAGACCAGGGCTTTTCAACCTTTTCGCCCATTGTGCCACTTTTAGGATATGGCCACATCCGAGTACCACCAGTCGCCTAGCAAGGGGTCAAAAACTGAATGACCCAAAAAAAAAAAAAAAAGGAAAAAAGTGATAAAGTACAGGTAGTCCTCGACTTACAACAGTTCGCTTAGTGACTGTTCGAAGTTACAATGGCACGGAAAAAAGCCACAGCCAAGCAAGACACCTGCCTGCCCGCCCGGTGGCGCTCTTCCTCCTGTCCGAGGTTTTCATTGTTGTGAACATTTCTGTTGAAGATTGGCAGCGGAGGTGGGGTGGGGGGTGTTTGGTTTTTATTTCCTCCCCCCCCCCCCCGTCTGTTGGGTGGTTGCAGCAGGTTTTGGTCACTTCACACGACCCTGGGACACGGTGACCGTCATAAATATGAATCGGTTGCCAAGCATCTGAATGTAAATCAGAAGACCCTGGAGAGGCTGCAACACTCCAGCTGATTGGTGCTTCTTCTGGGCTCAGCAGAAGCGCCAGGATCAGCACCGAGTTCCAGCTGGATCCTGGTGCTGATCCTGGCGCTTCCGCTGAGCCCTGACAGCCCCGAAGAAGCGCCCATCAGCTGGAAAGCGGCACTGATCCTGGCGCTTCCGCTGAGTCCCGACAGCCCTGCAGCTCCAGCCGTCTCTCGCTCAGGCTTCTGCGGTGCTGCCCCCGGTTCAGCCCATTCCCCTCCCCGGATACCCCTTTTCTAGGATGGTTGCGTACCACCTGCCAGGTGCCAATGTACCACAGGTGGTACCCGTACCACTGGTTGAAAAGCCCTGCGAGAGATCACCTCGGGTGACCCCGAGGACACAGATAAACCTCCAAGTGGCCTCAACGACGCTCTAAAAGGATGCAAATGACCGGCTGTCTGCAAGGAGGATAAATCCTTCCACTCCCCACCATCCACTCAGACTGTGGGTGTGAAGCCTTCTTGGAACTGTGGAAAGGACTGTGTTGCAGATTGGAGATAGATAGACTACCCATTTGCATCACTCAGGACAGGAAAAAAAACCCTCCCAGTGGCCTCAACGGCTCTCTAAAAGAATGCAAATGACCAATTTTTCTGCAAGGAGTATAAATCCTTCCCTTCCCCCACCATCCAGTCAGAACTGAAGAAGCTTCTTGGATGAGAAGAGAAATATCTTCAAAGAAAAGGCTCCACACCCATTTGCACCACTCGGGTGACCCCGAGGACACAGATAAGCCTCCAAGTGGCCTCAACGACCCTCTAAAAGAAGGCAAATGACCAGTTTTTCTGCAAGGAGTATAAATCCTTCCGTTCCCCACCATTCAGTCGGAGCTGAAGAAGCTTCTTTGGATGAGAAGTGAAGCGTCTTCGAAGAAAAACAAGAAAGTCCAGTTCCCTCTTGGAAAAAAAAAGGACACCTTTTGCAACAAAGGTGACGAGAAAAATCGAAACACGGGGCAAAACCCGCTTAACCAATTTTTCACTTAGCCGCATTCGTTTCGGGCTCAATTGTTGTAAATTGAGGACTGCCTGTAGAACGACAACCGGGCTTTTGTGTGTGTGTGGGTGTGGGTCACGTTTTTAGGTTAACATGACCCACCCCAAAAGCCCAGTTGTGATTCTTTTGGTCTGCTAGAGGAAAATTGGGCCTTTTTTGTTTTGTTTTTTGTTTTTTCGGGGTTTTTTTTTCCCAGCAATGCTCAGATTTTCCGCAAGTTTTTGAGATTCCCACGCTCCCCGTTCTGATCTCTGCTCTGTTCTTCAGACCCTGGATGACGTCATCAAGGATTTAATGGCCGCCATCCACCGGGAACTGACGGAGAAGCAGTCGGTGTCCTTCAGCCTCTCCTTCCCGCCCAACAAGATGGAGCTGACCGTCACCAAATCCGACAGCACCGACTCTCACATTTATGAATTTCCCAATCCGGATGCCCGGCACAGTTTTGAACAAGGCTTCGAGGACGCGAAGAAGAAGCTAGGTAGCCTCTTTGGGTGGTTTGGCACCGCTTAGAATGAACGGCGGTGCTTTCTAGAGCAAACTCAATGCTCTTTCTTACCGGCGCACCCCGCAGGTAGAAAGCTAGCCCCTCACTGTGAAAATGAGCCTGTTGTCTGCACCCTGACATGCTGATTTTCTATGAACAGGGATTGGATTCAGTCTGAATTCAAATCTAAATAGCCAACTTGGTGCTCCTTCTTAGCTGCACACCCCGCAGGTAGAAAGCTAGCCCCTCACTATGAAAATGAGCCTGTTGTCTGCTCCCTGACGTGCTGATTTTCTGTGCACAGGGATTGGATTCAGTCTGAATTGAAACCTAAATAGCCAACTCAGTGCTCCTTCTTAGCTGCACACCCCGCAGGTAGAAAGCTAGCCCCTCACTGTGAAAATTAGCTGTCTGTCTGCTCCCTGGCGTGCTGATTTTCTATGAACAGGGTTTGGATTCAGTCTTAATTCAAACCTAAATAGCCAGTTCATTCCTCCTTTCTATCTGTGCACCCCGCAGGTAGAAAGCTAGCCCCTCACTGTGAAAATTAGCCTGCCATCTACTCCCTGACATGCTGATTTTCTGTGCACAGGGATTGGATTCAGTCTGAATTCAAATCTAAATAGCCAACTCAGTGCTCCTTCTTAGCTGCACACCCCGCAGGTAGAAAGCTAGCCCCTCACTGTGAAAATTAGCTGTCTGTCTGCTCCCTGGCGTGCTGATTTTCTATGAACAGGGTTTGGATTCAGTCTTAATTCAAACCTAAATAGCCAGTTCATTCCTCCTTTCTATCTGTGCACCCCGCAGGTAGAAAGCTAGCCCCTCACTGTGAAAATTAGCCTGTTGTCTGCGCCCTGACATGCTGATTTTCTATGAACAGGGATTGGATTCAGTCTGAATTCAAATCTAAATAGCCAACTCGGTGCTCCTTCTTAGCTGCACACCCCGCAGGTAGAAAGTTAGCCCCTCATTGTGAAAATGAACTGGCCGTCTGCTCCCTGACATGCTGATTTTCTGTGCACAGGGATTGGATTCAGTCTGAATTCAAATCTAAATAGCCAGTTCATTCCTCTTTTTTACCTGTGCACCCCGCAGGTAGAAAGCTAGCCCCTCACTGTGAAAATGAGCCTGTTGTCTGCGCCCTGACATGCTGATTTTCTATGAACAGGGATTGGATTCAATCTGAATTCAAATCTAAATAGCCAGTTCATTCCTCTTTTTTACCTGTGCACCCCGCAGGTCGAAAGCTAGACCCACACTGTGAAAATTAGCCTGTCGTCTGCTCCCCGATGTGCTGATTTTCGATGCTCCCTCTTAGCTGCACACCCCGCAGGTAGGAAGCTAGCTCCTCGCTGTGAAAATGAGCCTGCCGTCTGCGCCCTGACTTGCTGATTTTCTATGAACAGGGATTGGATTCAGTCTGAATTCAAATCTAAATAGCCAACTCGGTGCTCCTTCTTAGCTGCACACCCCATAGGTAGAAAGTTAGCCCCTCGCTGTGAAAATTAGCCTGTTGTCTGCTACGCGACATGCTGATTTTTTGTGAACAGGGATTGGATTCAGTCTTAATTCCTGGAAGCCAAATCTAGTTGCTCGTGCACTCTTTATGAGATTTTTTTTGGGTTTTCAATAGGGCGATCTGCAGGGTTGACAAGGCGCGGGAAAGCTTTTAATCTATTCCAATTCACATTGTGCTTTCGCTGTGACACTGCACAGGGGCATCAGCAACTGATTGGATGATGCTACAAGTTTGCTAAGAGTTTTTTTTTAAATTATACTTTAAAGGAAGACTAGAAACGAGAAGAGATAAAAACATGTAAAAAAGAGAAAAAGGTAAAAATATGCATGGAAAAATCAAATGAGTGAAGAAATGAGCTAAAATACCATGGGCATTGTGGTTTTCTAATATATTATGGAGAGACAGTTTGGTGTGGTGGTTAAGGCATCAGGCTGGAAACCAGGTGAAGCCGAGTTCAAGTCCTGCCCTTATGCATGAAATCGGCTGGGGGACTTTGGGCCAATCACCAGGAGATGGGGAGTTTAATCCCACCTTAGGCATGAAAGCAGATGGGTGAGTCTGCCAATCACCAGGAGACAGTGAGTTCTAGTCCCGCCTTAGACATGAAAGCCTGCTGGGTGTCTTTGGGCCAATTACCAGGAGACTGTGAGTTCTAGTCCCTCCTTAGGCATGAAAGCCATCTGAGTGACTTTGGGCCAATCACCAGGAGACGGTGAGTTCTAGTCCCGCCTTAGACATGAAAGCCTGCTGGGTGTCTTTGGGCCAATCACCAGGATGTTGTGAGTTCTAGTCCCAGCTTAGGCATGAAATTGGCTAGGGGACTTTGGGCCAATCACCAGAAGACGGTGAGTTCTAGTTCTGCCTTAGGCATGAAAGCCGGCTGGTGGATTATGGGCCAGTCCCTCTTTCAGCCCAGCCCACCTCACAGGGTTGATGTTGTGGGGAAAACAGGAAGAAGAAGGAGTATTAGCTATGTTCACCGACTTGAGTTATATATAAAAAAATAATAAAGGCGGGATAAAAATGAAGAAATACTGATTCTTTATGCAATTATAAAATGTATTGTAAAACTGAAAATCGGAGTTACGTCTCAAGCTAAGGCTGCAGTGTTTATTTATTTCTCTTTAATTATCCAGCTTCTAACAAAAACTGTCTGGATCCTGAGTTCCTGAAGGCAATTCCCATTATGAAAACACGGAGCGGGATGCAAGTAGGTGGAAGCTTTTTCGATCCAACCCAAGGTTGTTCTTTTCTCGCACTTGCTACAGGCTCTGCAGTAGAATGGAGTGGAGTGGAGTGGAGTGGAGTGGAGTGGAGTAGAGTAGAGTAGAGTAGAGTAGAGTAGAGTAGAGTAGAATAACAGACTAGAATAGAATAGAATAGAATGGAATGGAATGGAATAGAATAGAAAATATGTAATGGAATGGGATAGAATAGAATAGAATTATAGAATAGGTTAGAATAGAATACCGTAGGTTAGAATAGAATAGAAATATAGAATAGAAATACAGAATAGAATAGAATAGAATAGAAATACAGAATAGAAATACAGAATGGAATAGAATTGAATAGAATGGAATGGAATAGAATAGAAAATATGTAATGGAATGGGATAGAATAGAATAGAATACAATAGAATAGAATAGAATTATAGAATAGGTTAGAATAGAATAGAATAGAATAGAATAGAAAATATGTAATGGAATGGGATAAAATAGAATAGAATTATAGAATAGGTTAGAATAGAATAGAACAGAACAGAACAGAAAATTAAAATAAAATAAAATAATAGAGTTGGAAGGCACCTTGGAGGTCATCTAGTCCAACCCCCTGCTCAAGCAGGAAACCCTAGACCATTTCAGACAATTGGTTGTATGTTAAGAAGTTACTCTTTTCATGGGCCAAGTGTTTAAAAGACCCTTTAATGCAACTCCCTGGATTTATTGCGCTGCCATTGAATGACGTAGCTCCTTCACGACTAATTTTGCTTCTGTATCCCTAAATCTCAGAACTGGCTGTTCAAGTAGAATGTAAAAGTTTGAGTATAGACCTACATCTTGACTTTCAACCGTTCGTTTAGTGACTGTGAAGTTACATTGGCAGTAAAAAAAAAAAAAGTGACTTACGGCCAGTTTTTTGCCTTTACAATTGTTGTAGCAGCATCTCTGTGGTCATGTGGACAAAATTCAAGGGCTTGCACCTAACGTGTATTTTATGACAGTTGCATTGTCCTGGGATCCTGGGATCACCCTTTTTGACCACCTATATCAGGGGTCTTCAAACTTGGCCCTTTTATGACTTGTGGACTGAGCACGCTGGCTCAAGAATTCTGGGAGTTGAAGTCCACGAGTCATGAAGGGGCCATAGTTTCCCCATGCTGGCTGAGGAATTCTGGGAGTTGAAATTCCACAAGTCATGAAGGGGCCAAAGTTCCCCCATGCTGGCTCAGGAATTCTGGAAGTTGAAGTCCACGAGTCATGAAGGGGCCATAGTTCCCCTATGCTGCCTTAGGAATTCTGGGAGTTGAAGTCCCCGAGTCATGAAGAGGCCATATTCCCTCATGCTGGCTGAGGAATTCTGGGAGTTGAAGTCCACACCTCTTAAAATGGCCGAGGTTAAGAAACATTAGTTTAGCTCTTTCTGAGCATTATTTCCCCCTCACATTATGTCAGGGGTATTCAGGCATGGCCCTTTTATGACTTCTGGACTTCGACTCCCAGAATTCTGCCTGGCTGAGGAATTCTGGGAGTTGAAGTCCACAAGTCCTAAAAAGACCCCTGGCTTAGAGTGGTGTTTCCCATCCTTTTTAAGATTGATGGACTTCAACTCCCAGAATTCAATTGCCGGCTGAGGAATTCGGGGAGTTGAAGTCCACCCATCTTCGGTTGAGAAACTCTAGGTCAGTGGTTCTCAACCTGTGGGTGGGGACCCCATTTGGGGTTGAACGACCATTTCGCGGGGGTCGCCAAACAATGCAGTCCGCCATTTTTTCCCCCTTTTCCTTAGCTGTGCTACTCCCTTTTATTCTATTGGCTTTTGAAAGCCAATAGAATAGACTCTCTTGAATAGAGTCTAATTCCATTGGCTTTCAAAAGCCAATAGGAATTGTCCAGGCTGTCTCTGCCCTGCTGAGCCCGCCAAAAGTCCCATTCTGCAAACGGTGCTGCACCAGTTGAGTAGTCCTTGACTTACGACCGGTTGGAGGTCGCGGCATTAAAAAGGTTGAGAACCACTTCTCTAGCTTAAACACGGCATGGGCAGGAAACCCTCCACTCTTTTGCCTGCTGCCAAGGAAGACCTTAAGGGAGACTTGTTTTGCTTCCCCCCTCCCCAGTTCTCCTGCGCCTCCCCCAGCCACAACAACCCGGAGAACGCCTACGAAGTCTGGGTCTGCAACAGCGACGGCTACGTGGGGCAGGTGTGTCTTCTCAGCATCAAGAAGGAGCCCATCGTGGAGGCCTGCATCGCTGTCTGCTCTGCCCGGATTTTGTGCATCGCCTCCGTGCCGGGTCTCAAGAGGATCTACAGGTACCAGCCCTGCCAACCACCCTCGTCCTCTGGGCACATCTGCGTGGGAACCTCTAGGGGACCTGCCAGGGTTCTGCTGCAGAAGGAAGGAGGGGTCAGTGGGGAGTTTTTGTTTTAATTAATTGATTGATTTAGAAAAAAATAATATACGGGCCATGTTTTCTTTATTTATGTAGAATAGAGTAGCATAGCGTAGACTCAAAAGAATGGAATGGAATGGAATAGAATAGAAAATATAGAATAGAATAGAATAGAATAGAATAGAATAGAATAGAATAGAATAGAAAATATGGAATGGAATGGAATGGAATAGAAAATATAGAATAGAGTAGAATAGAAAATATGGAATGGAATGAAATGGAATAGAAAATAGAATAGAATAGAATAGAATAGAATAGAATAGAATAGAATAAAAAATATGGAATGGAATAGAATAGAAAGAATAGAATAGAATAGAATAGAATAGAATAGAATAGAATAGAATAGAATAGAAAACATGGAATAGAATAGAATATAGAATAGAAAATAGAATAGAATAGAATAGAAAATATGGAATGGAATAGAATAGATAGAAAATATGGAATGGAATGGAATAGAATAGAAAATATAGAATAGAATAGAATAGAATAGAAAATATGGAATAGAATAGAATAGAATAGAATAGAATAGAATAGAATAGAATAGAATAGAATAGAAAATATGGAATGGAATAGAATAGATAGAAAATATGGAATGGAATAGAATAGATAGAAAATATGGAATGGAATGGAATAGAATAGAAAATATAGAATAGAATAGAATAGAAAATATGGAATAGAATAGAATAGAATAGAAAATATGGAATGGAATAGAATAGATAGAAAATATGGAATGGAATAGAATAGATAGAAAATATGGAATGGAATGGAATAGAATAGAAAATATAGAATAGAATAGAATAGAATAGAATAGAATAGAATAGAATAGAATAGAAAATATGGAATAGAATAGAATAGAAAATATAGAATATAGAATAGAATAGAATAGAATAGAATAGAATAGAATAGAAAATATGGAATGGAATGGAAAATAAAATAGAACAGAGCAGAACCCCAAAGCAAATTAAACCTAGAATTAAACATGTAATAATGTCCTGCAGACTCACTTTTCATTTTCCAACGCCTTCTTCCCCAGGGAACATCCAGTCTCTCTGGCCAGCCCAGCCTCGGAGCCGGCAAACCCCACCCTGGATGAGGCTGCCCCTCAACCGTGTTTGCACATCTCCATTTCTGGATCTTCTCTGGAGATCTTGGAGCCGATGGACACTGCTGGCCAGGAACTCGTCCCGTTTGACAGCGATGACACCGACGACGAGTCCTCGCCCAGTCCCTCTGGCACCCTTCAAAGCCACTCCACCATCTCCAGCTTTACCAGTGAGTTGTCTGTTTCTGGGAAAAGAGGACACTGTGACCTGTACAGGGCGTTCATTTAGTGACCGTTCCACATTATAACGGCACTGAAAAAAAGTGACACGACCATTCTTCACACTTACGACCGTTGGAGCATCCCTATGGTCACGTGATCCAAATTCAGACGCTTGGCAACTGGCATATACTTAATGACAGTTGCAACGTCCCGGGGTCACGTGATCCAAATTCAGACGCTTCATATTTATGATGGTTCCAGTGCCCCCGGGTGTCACGTGATCCCCTTTAGCAAAAAAAGCCAGATTCACTTAACAACTGTGTCACTAATTGAACACCTGCAGTGAGTCACTTAACAACAGTGGCAAGAAATGTCATAAAACGGAGCCAAATTAATATACGTCTCACTTAACAACCAAACTGTTGGGCTCAATTGTGGCGGTAAATGGAGGACTACCTGTACTGCAAAAGTCCCGTTCAACACACACATATACTCACACAAAAACTCATACACGGAGTTGTTGTTTTTCAGCCCGTTTTCTTCTACCAAGACTTGGTGGCTTTCATAAACATTTTAAAAAAATCCAGCTTTTTTTTTTCCAGCAAGTACTTGATAAATCAGCATGGAAGCATTTGAGCACAAACAATTCAGTTGTCTCTCTGTTCCTAAGAAACAGGCCTTTTATTACCTAGCAAAATGTCCAAATATTTCTACTCCCTGGAAGCTGCCCTTGTTTATCCACATTTGAGAATCACAGCGTTGTTAGAACCAAGACCGGAATAATATGACGTATTCTGCACCAAATGAGAATTTGTTATCAGGGAGGTTTGTTATTGTTTATATGAATGCTGTGCCTAGAGATGGTGTGATAGGATATCCTATTAATAAACAATGCACTGGAATAAACCATCATCCCAAATAACAATGCTCCCTCCTAAAACAAATATTTTTTTTATTAAAAGGGGCAGTCCTAATCTTTTGAAACAGAATGAAGCATTTATTATAACAGCCTTTTAAAAATAGCAGCACATAAAAAAAAAATCTCCAGGCATAACTTCCTGTTTAGCTATAAACTATTTTTCCCAAGCTGATGTCTGCTAAAGTTGGTGGGACTTGACTCCTCCGATTTTTCTGCCAGAGGACGTGCTAGCTGCAAATTTAGGACGTTACAACTCCACTTCAAGGAAGGGACTGTGGGTTTGGGAGAAGGGTTTTACGCGACTTGTAATAACTCGCCTGCATTCTGGAATAAAAGCGTGGAGGAAGTGGGTTTTCCAAAATCTCTTGAATATGAGAAGCCAGGAAAAGGGCAGAGAAGAGCAGGGAATATGGTGATGGGCTTGGAAGCAAAATCTTATGAAGAAGGGTTGAAAGAATTGGATGTGTTTCGAAGGAAGGAAGGAAGGAAGGAAGGAAGGAAGGAAGGAAGGAAGGAAGGAAGGAAGGAGGGCAGATTGAATAGAATAGAATAAAATAGAATAGAATAGAATATGGAATAAAATATGGAATAGAATAGAATAAAAAAGAATAGAATAGAATGAATAATATAGAATAGAAAAGGAATAGAAAAGGAATAGAATAAATAGAATAGAATAGAAAAGAGTAGAATAGAATAGAATAGAATAGAATAGAATAGAATAGAATAGAATAGAATAGAATAGAATAGAATAGAATAGAATAATAGAGTTGGAAGGGACCTTGGAGGTCATATAGTCCAATCCCCTGCTCAGGCAGGAAACCGTGTACCATTCAGACAAATGGTTGTCCAATCTCTTCTTAAAAACTTCCAGTGTTGGAGCAATCACCGCTTCTGGAGGCAGGTGGTTCCACTGGTTAATTGGTCCTCACTGTCAGAAAATTTCTCCTTAGTTCCAGGTTGCTTCTCTCCTTGGTTAGTTTCCATCCATTGCTTCTTGTCCTGCCTCGGGCACTTTGGAGAATAGCTTGACTCCCTCTTCTTTGGGGCAGCCCTGAGATACTGGAAGACTGCTATCATGTCACCCCTGGTCCTTCTCTTCATTAGACTACACCAGGGTAGGCAACCTTGGCTCTTTTTGACTCGTGGACTTCACTCCCAGATTCCTGAGCCAATTGTGCTGGCTCAGGAATTCTGGGAGTTGAATCCACGAGTCATAAAAGAGCCAAGGTTGCCTCCCCCTGGACTAAACATTCCCAATTCCAGCAACCGTCCCTTATATGCTTTAGCCTCCAGTCCCCCGATCATCTTTATTGCTCTTCTCTGCACTCTTTCCAGAGTCTCAGCATCTTTTTTACATTGTGGTGACCAAAATTGGATGCCGTATTCCAGGTGTGGCCTTACCAAGGCCTTGTAAAGTGGTATTAACCCTTCACCTGATCTTCATTCTATCCCTCTGTTGATGCAGCCCAGCACTGTGTTGGCCTTTTGGGGCAGCTGCAGCACACGGCTGGCTCCTATCGAAGGGATTGTCCCCTTAAATAGGTTTGCAAATGTTTGCGAGTCGAGAAACCCCTATATTTGGCGGTCCTCTTTCTTTTGCCAGATGAGGAGAGCCCCAGTTCCAAAGATGTGACGGCCGAGACCACCAGCTCGGAAGAGGAGCAGGACCCCAGTAGCTTCCTCCCCATCGGCCGCCCCTTCGCCCCGAACCAGATCGGCGAGAGCCCCATGGACGGCCGAGCTATGAGGCGCTCCAGTCAAGGCTCCTTCACCAGGGCCAGCCTGGAAGACCTGCTCAGTGTGGACCCCGAGGCCTATCAAAGCTCCATGTGGCTGGGCACCGAGGATGGTTGGTAAGGAGACCCTACCCTGGCATCTCTTGGGGTTTGGGGCTAACAGGCGGTGTCAGTACCCCCGTTTCTCCTGAGTGTCCAGACGAGAAAGAGGCTCCCTAAGCCAGGGGTCTTCAAACGTGACCCTGTTAGGACTTGTGACCTTCCACTCCCAGAATTCCCCAGCCAGCATGGATGGGCTTCACCTACAATTCCTGTCAGCGTGGATGGACTTCAACTCCCAGCATTCCCCAGCCATCCAGAAACAGTGCCTTAAGCCAGGGGTCTTCAAGCCACTAGTATGTAAAATGAGAGCAAAGGCCACTCCCTTCTAGCACTGAGGGTGTTACCTAGTTGGGTCACGAAACATCTGCAAGAAACCAGCCAAGCTCAGAGAGCAGCAAGGATCCCACAGCTCTTCCTTCCTTCCTTCCTTCCTTCCTTCCTTCCTTCCTTCCTTCCTTCCTTCCTTCCTTCCTTCCTTCCTTCCTTCCTTCCTTCCTTCCTTCCTTCCTTCTAGCACTGATGGTGTTGCCTAGCTGGGTCACAAAACGTCTGCAAGGAAACAGCCAAGCTCAGAGAGCACCAAGGACCCCACAGTCTTCCTCCTTTTCCTCCTCCTCCTCCTCCTCCTCCTCTCTCCTTCTCCACAATCCCCCCTCCCTTCTAGCACTGAGGGTGTTACCTAGTTGGGTCATGAAACATCTGCAAGAAACCAGCCAAGGTCAGAGAGCAGCAAGGACCCCACAGCTCTTCCTTCCTTCCTTCCTTCCTTCCTTCCTTCCTTCCTTCCTTCCTTCCTTCCTTCCTTCCTTCCTTCCTTCCTTCCTTCCTTC